TCTTCTTACTAAATCCTGAGTAAGTCTGCAGGTTACTGTGTATTCAAGTAAGATTTTCTAGTAGTCACTTGCCTCTGCTCTTGCTACCAATAAAACAGCTTGAAAAGCATTCTGTAAACAAAAACTAGGAAATGCATCACAGCCTCCTAAAACGTAAGAAGGACGGATATTGCCACAGATATGTTTCAGGATTCCACAAAGCATGTAGCCACAACATGGTGGAAGTAAATAGCTTGTTATTTAAAATATTTTATACATTCTGTTAATGTGCTGATGGGTTTTCCTCAAGGACGTTAACAGGAAATCAAAAACAGCTGAGAACGCAAGGTAGTTCTACGAGACTAGTGTGGAGGAGGCAGTCTGTGTCACATACGGTCGGGCTCCGGTGCCAGCCGACTTCTGCCTTGTGGATGGGCGCTCCCCACTACCATCCCACTCGGGGTTAGGGCTCCGACAGGAGAAGGTGGGGGCACAGCTCAGTCCATGATATCTCCCTGTGAAAGCTGTAAATCCTACACTACGCTCACTTGCATTTTAACTTCATTACACACGATTGTTTTCCTTTTCACAAAATAATCAAATGGAGAGAAAGTAACTGCAGTGCTCCAGAATTTTTATCTCCACATTATACTGCCTAAAATTTTACCATTAAAAAATTGTTTGGGTTAACAATGTCTTCAAAATACAGACACATCAAAGGAAGTTAGACAGTGGTCACTGTTCAATTTTCAGTGTGCAAGTCAAATAACCCTCACATCTCAACAGAAATAAGTAAGGTGAAGAAAAAGTTTGGTATGGAAGATGTCCAGTGAGCTGGGCGTGATGGTATATGCTTGTAATCCCTGCACTCGGGAGGGTGAGGCAGGAGGATTGCCCTGAGTTCAAGTCCAGCCTCGGTGCCATAGTGAGTTTAAGGCCAGCCTGAACTACACAGTGAGACCTTGTATTAAAAATCAAGAGAAAAAAGAAAAGAAAACGTGCAGTGAAGCCACTCTGCAGGCAGAAGGAGGCGGCATGATGATGAGAGTGACTGAGTCCTAGGAAAGGGAAGAAGAGAAGCTTGGCCCGGGTTAAGGCTGCACCTCGAGCCAGGGCCTGAGAAATCGATGCTTGCATACTCATCTTCTTGCACACCTTACTTTCCGGCTCTAAGACATGGCCAATTCAGTATGGCGAATTCCAACAGCCCACTGAAGAGGGGACATTCTGAGTATTAGGTACTACATCAAAGTCAAGGACTCTGAAGCTGATCCAAGAATCCAACACTTTAATATATAAGGATATTTAACAGCATCTCAATGAGAAATTTCTTCTGAGCCCCACAGAATGCAAAGTCTTAACACTGTGAAAAGAACCTTTAAAGATACCTAGAGAAATTCCTTTCCATATGTACCTCTGGGGTACAGGCAAGACACACCCAAGTTCTGCAAAAATGAATCCTGCTGAGCCTCTGCAGACTCATCTGTCAGAATAACAAACTTTCTTTGTTAACTTGGGGAAAAGGGAAAACTGAATAATGCTCAACAGCTAATGTGCAAGTTTTTCCATTATCATTATTGTAGAAACAACTAAATAAGAGTTTTCTATATACAAAATAGTTTTAACATTATATAATTTCCCAGTGGGAGTTATCTGTATCCTTTGAATTCCTTGATATTTTACATAGATCATTTTGATCATATCTTCCTACTTGTCTAACCTTTATGGAAAGAGTAGAGCTTCCTCCTAATATTATGTCATTGTGTCTATTTCAGCACTCGGATGTGGGAGATTACTGGAAAATGGATGGCTGAAAGGACAGCCAGCTAGGTCTTCCTCAGCCTTCTCTCCTCCAGGCCAGCCTTCCTGTTGAGGCTGTCCCACCCATACTGAGCTGGGAAGCTTGCTTGCAGTCATAATGCCCAGGGAGTAGGACAGATTCTTTGGGGGAGGAGGGCTGAACCATGCTTCTGAATATATTTGTGGATTATGTGAATTGCCAAAAAGTACAATAATGCCTTAATTTAAAATATTTAAGGAATGCATGTATACCTACATTGCTACCATAATTTACACTCACTCTTGAATGAATACCCAGGATATGCAAAATACTATACATCAAACAATATTAAAGTGTCTATGATTGCCTAAGTTCATTTGTTATAAACCTCATACAAAAACATTTTTAACTGATTCCTCATGCTGCTTTCAGTGAGATACCAAAGCAGCTGCAAATCCATATAGTTACAAATCCAATTTAAAATAAAAAGTAATTACTTTAGGATTATGAATTATGAATGTGTCTTTTACAATTAATGGCAGCGTTTTTGCCTGTAGTTTTCTACCGCAGTGACATTCTAAGTAAACCCCACGCTGAACCCAGTTGTCACCCCCCTCGGTAGACACTCCTAGTCCATCATGGCATTTCTCCTCAGAGCCTCACAGTCCTCCCAACCTAGAGCTGCAGGCAGTGCCACAGCTGTCAAGTTGGCATGGGTGTACTTGTCATGTGTCAGACTGATCCATTACAATGAAACTTCGTAATAATGGCTACACTACAGTTTGGAGGCTTTGGTAGATTGTGCGATATGAATATAGGTGTTAGTTCACTCCTATCAAAAACATTCCAGGAGTGGTCAACCACGTTAACAGGCACCATAGTCCAGAGACAATGCCACAGCCCATAGGCCCTGTACTGAATGCTTTCCTTCTAGAATGAGTGAGAGAAATGAGCTACAACCAGTGACATCACCAGCTGCTTAAGCAGCATGTCAGCATCTCATTGATTATATTCACAAACTCAAGGAGGACAGATTCACTTACACACGCAGGGACATCTCCTACCCACACGGGTTGGGCACACCCATCTATGGGCAGAAGCGAATATCCCAGGAGTGACATCCAATAGCCATAAGATAAAATGCATGTTCAAAGGGTATCTAGTACCCTGAGGCTAACAATAAGTTTACAGAAACTTGCCCTGAGAATACTGTCTGCCTTTTATTAGAACTTTTCATATAACGGAAGGCAGACAACTAAGCAGCAGAGACTGGGACTTCAATAACTACCTCTTTGGTGGACTGTTTCCTATCTGCTTGCTGACAAATATTCAACAAATGTCTGTACCTGAAACTTGTCTCCATGAAGATCTGGTAGATGGTGTTGGTAAGACAGCTAACTATCTTCCATATCCAGCAGCTGGTGACAACCGTCTTTGATTTGCACTCATGGTTTGCACTAGTTAGCTTTCCCATCACTGAGACGTCATACCCAAATCCATGAATCAGAGATTTAATCTGGCTCAGTTTCGTGGGATTCAGTTCACGGTCAGGTGCCCCCAAGGCAAAACATCATGGCAGAAGAACGCGGTAGGGCAGAGGTGCTTAGCTCATGGCAGCCAGGAAACAGAGAAGGGAATAGCACCAGAGAGAAGGGACTAGGAACCAGATATAGCACACAAAGTTGTGTCTCCTTGTCCCACCCAAACGCGCCCAAAAGCACACTTTACTAATCTGCTAGGCATTCTTAATCCAACCAACTTGATGGATCTCAGGATTAATGGTCACACAGTTGGACATGTCCACACTGCTTAGAGGCCAACATATATCTGTAAGATGCTGACATGTGAAATCCCATCACACAGCACCGAAGAAAATCTGTAATAACACATTCACAATGGGGCCATAATTCATGTCTTGTGCTAGGCGGCTTAGACCACCAGTGGTATGCACACATCTGTCCCACTCAGCATCTTTATTAATTTTACCAGTAAAAAGACCAACAAAGTGATTAGATCTGTTCTTAGCAGTGGTACCGCCACTGGATGAAACTCATTCATACACTATTGGTGGTTCAAGCCGGTGGGAATGTATTAAACCAATGACAGTGGAGTGGGGGAAGGACCTGTTTCCACTGGTGGTCACATGGTTCCTGAGAAAACCCTTTTTCCTCTTTATTAGTGAGAGGGAACTGGGCCCCCAGCCATGCCCCAGCCAACTCAGGATGACAACTGGTTCTATCTATGTGGCAGTTCAAAGTGACCCCAGGTAGTTTAACAGTTGCAGTCAGCAGTGTCAGAACAGGAGAGGGATTATTTCAATAAAATATCAAGCTTTATGCACTGTCAAAAGTTACAAAAAACGGTCTCCTTTCTCATGTGCATTTGCTGTGGACATTTTTTCCTGAGCTCAGACAGTTTCCAGCAGCATTTCCAGGGCTGATGCGAGAACCAAGGGACTTCCATAATGTAAAATCCCCGTGTGCAAAATTGAAGGGCTTCCACTGAGCTTTCAATTGCAGTGACTAATCAGCACATTGGAAGGCACCAACAATCCAACAGAATTCTGTAAATACCTTCTAAGCAATGAATATGATGAGAACCCTCTGCTCATGAACTGCTACGAGGCTGTGACATTTACTATGTGAAAAGACATCTTCAGAGACGAAATACATAAAATCTCACTACAGAAGAATTATTCATCAGCATTCATGAAATTAATTTTGGTAAAGGAAATGCTCAATTTGAACCTCAGTTAAGTGAAATGTAATTTTCTCTTTCCCCTAAGAATTCTATTATTCTCAGTACTAGACCTGAATCTCAAAACTCTCAAAACTTTTACTCAATCTTTACTTCCTTCAATATATATTTTGTAAAAGTGTCTTATTTACTTTTCTGTTGTTGGGGCTGGGGATTTAGCTCAGCGGCAAAGCGCCTGCCTGGCAAGCGCAAGGTTGTGAGTTCGGTTCCCGGTACCGGAGAAAAACCAAAAAAAAAAAAAAAACTTATGAATACTTTTCTGTTATTGCTGAGACAATATACTCAATGCCCCAAATTAAGGAAGGAAAGGTTTATTTAGCTCAGTTTGTGGTGGTTTCACTCTGCAAAGCAACAGGAGCAAAAGGGAGGGGCCAGCCTCTTTCCCTCCCTTGTATGCAAGCTGCCGGCCCTAGGGTGGGTGCAGCACTCACACCACCAATCCTAGCACTAGACAATGAACCAATCACAAACTCTAGATTCAGCCACCTCTGAACATCCTGCCCCCCATGACTGCATCAGGCTTTGCGGGGGGCTAGATCCAGACATGAAACATGTCTTATTCCTATCACTTCATTATCTACACAAGTATCTACATACCTCGATTTGGCCCGCAAAATGTAGTCTTTACTACCTGGCCCATAACAGAAATAGGCTATACTAAAAAGTGAAATGAATCTATTGATTCAAATATATCAGAAATATTAAGTAAAAAATTTTGAGGCACTAGCATAATGTAAGTCCATGTGTGCACAAGTAGCCCATAAACGATGCTTGCTGTGACACGTGTGCCCACACGCACCGATGTCTGGAAGGACACACTGCTGATTGTGATTGCTTCCAGTGGCAAACACTCTAAACCACAACTTTTTCAAGTATCCAGGGTTACATTCACAGCAAATTGATTTGGTCTCCCCTGGCTCAAAATCCCAAGTGGCTTTTGAACACACTGGAAAACTAATCAAAACAACCTGTGCCTTAGTGGGGACAGAGGGCACTGATCACAGATCCCCCCCACCTTCCGCTCCAGGGCTTTCTGCTACACTGGCCCCTTCTGCCTGTGGGCTTCTGCCTACTTAAGGACTCCCGTACCTGCCTGACCTTGCACTGAAGCGTGATTTCAGCAGTGGTCACAGGCCTCTTCTCTACCACCTCACAGAAGCCTCCTCCCCTTCACCTCTGCCCTTCTCCCACTCGCTCACCGCTCCCCGCTGACCCATGTGATGTAAGCATCTGCCCCGCCTGCCCCAGGAACGCACCTCCCGGGGCGGAGCCTACACTGCTCCTCACAAACCAGAAAGACACCTGAGTCAGGAGAGGCAGACTATTTTATAGCTTTACCTGCTGGGAGGAAGGGTAAGGAATGTGATGTAGGAAGATTGTGTTCTTTTAACAGTCTTTGTTACAATGGGAATGAATGTACTTGAGTACTGCTTATAAAACTGGGAATAAAAATGTAAAAAAAAAAAAATACTTAAAGATTATTTTAAAAATTAAGTCTCCTTCCATTCCTGTTGTTATATTTATTACTGAATCGGTAATTTGTTCTGGAAACCTTTATTACACACTGTGCTGGGGACAACAGCAACAACTGCAAGGCACTGGCAACAAAAATTGACTTTTATTCCAGCAGGGGAGAGCAGAGAGGTCTGGCTGCACGTACCGAGCAGTCGTCCATGCTCTGAAGTCCTGGTAGGTAGGGAGCTTCCAGGTAAACTGAAGAAGGCTTTCTAGTTTCATCTACGGTAGATTTGCTGAGCGCCAGGGGACAATTTAAAACATCAATGAAAGGGGCTAGATCTAGGCTGGGCAACACAAAGGTTTCTCTTGGGGACGACATGAACTATGGCAGACGACTGCAGAGGATGGCCTGTGCCAGGGCGAACGGAAGACCCCATCTGAGTCACGCCGAGTCACGCCGGGGCCTGGCCCGCACCCGCGACGGCTCTGCCACGGGATCTCCACGCGCTTTTCCTCTCCACCAGGTCAGTGCGGCCTCGCGCCCTCCTCCACTCTGCCAGGGGCCCGGGCTATGGACACAGAGGGCGCGGTCCTGGAATGGGGAGTGCAGCGCCTTCGAGACCACCCACTCCCGACCACAGCAAGACCGAGAGGGCCACACTGGGGGAAACCAGGCTCCCCTCCCGCACGGTCATGTCACCAAAAGCTTAAAACACACACTGGAGAAATCTGAGAATGCGGGCTCTAAAACCCGGGTATTCTGAACTTATGGAAACAATTCTGCACTCATGCTGCTTAATACTTTAGCACCAACGTCATTTCACAAATATTTTTAAAACACATTAGGCCTAATGTAACGTAGTTTTTTGTCAATTTTAACATGTTCAGAAAGCTAAGATATAAAAAGTAGGCTTTAAAAAGTGTTTTAATCTTTTTGTGAGATAATTTTGGGGTGTTTATGCTCAAGGAAGAGGTATGTAATATGTGCCTAATTATTTTAACCCCCAAGACTTCTTTATCTTGAAAATGGTGGTTACAATCATTTGAAGAGTAGAGAAAACTGGTCCTCTTCTTTTTTGTGTGATTTGACAGTACTTGGGATCGAATCCAGACCTTCACCCTGAGCTACGTCCTCAGCCCTTTAAAAATTATTTATAGTATTTCTACTTGAGACAGGGTCTCACTAAGTCACTAAGGCTAGGCTTGCACCTTTGATCTTCCTGTCTCAGCCTCCAGAGTGCTGAGATTACAGGTATGTGCCACCACACTCAACTTTTATTCAAATTTTAACCAAATTTTCAGATCAATACTGTCAAAGCTCAAGATTTCTTTAACTTTGCCAGAACCTAAGTGCAAAATGTTTTTTATTATTGCTACTTTTGCTGCAATTATTAAAATTATATAGTTCATTATTATATGTTCAATAAATAAGTCATTGTAATGTGTATAGTTAAAGATAGGAGTAAAATAAATTAAGTGACATGCCTAAAGCAAAGCCAAACAAGTGCTATTCGAAATGAACTTTCTACTGGAGGAAAATGCTTTAAAAATACTTCCTTTCCGGTACATGCCTATAATCCCAGCACTTGGGAGGCTGAGGCAGGAGGATTGTTGTGGGTTTGAGACCAGCTTGGGCCACAGAGTAAGTTCAAGGCCAGCCTGAACTGCATAGTGAGACCCTGCCTCGAAAAAAAGACAAAAAAAACCCCCATTTTCTTACATTTAACATTACCCAGAGTTTCTTCAAAAATTATTGATAAGAAGATATATCAAAATTTACTTTTTCATACAACCTCTTTCTAGAAATAATCAGGGGCTCATCTTAATTTCTCTTTAATATACACAGCCTCACTAGCATGACCCCAGGTCTGAAGGGCCCCACCTGTGGCCTCCGCACACGTGGCCACGTCATGTTGAAGGGCTGGGCTGGCCAGGAAAAGACTCTGCTCTAGCTCCTGTTCAGAGAGTGCACTGCTGACTTTCTGTAAGACTGAGAAGGCAAGAGGGAAATGTAGCCCTAAGAATATGATCAATAAGCCTAGACCTCTCACAGGGCAACAAGCTATCTAACCCTAACGAATTACCACACATATTTTTAAAAATTAGAAAGTACTGGGGGAAGGAAAATACATTATGAAGAACCTGTGATGCATTTAAAATGTGGATTGCTACGATGTGTTCGTGTAACAGAGATACTGGGAAAACGAGATCGACATACTTCCACTGTATCCCAGGGCTAGGTTTTCCTTCTCTTCCTCCGCAGACTGCACCCCTCTGAGCCGCAGCTCACACTCCTGTGTGTGCCCCACAGGGGACTTCGGCACTGCAGCAGCAGGGCCCTCTTTCTGGGTGCTTCTCCCGCCAGCCAGTCCTCTCTCTGCTCTAATCCCCTGCACGGGGGAGCAGCTGCCCTCCTGCTCTGGACCAGCAGGGTTGGGGGTGGTGTGGGGACAGCGACTTCCTGCGGGCCCTGCATCTTCTCCCTGGGGACACTCGGCCTGCCCAATGTGCCCAGGGTTTTTCTCGGCAGCAGGTGTGTCCTCCGTAGCCATGCACACAGGTGTCCGGAGGCTGGAGGCAGCTCTTGCCGCCAAACTGCCAGTGCTGACAGATCTTGGTTTCTCCCCAATGCAAGACAGGTCAGACGTTTCTAGGATACTCGCTCTCTCCCTCTGGGAAAGGCTTCTGCAGCCGATGTGGGCAGGGCCTGCTGATGGCTGAGGCCCAGGAGGACAGTGCCCTGAGATCCTTTCCTGGAGGTTCTCGGGGGAGAAGTAATCCTCATAAGAGGATGCGGCACTGTCCGGAGTCCCCACATCAGACAAGGACGGGAACTGCAGGCCACGTCCGGACCTGAGCAGCTGCACGTGGGGCACCGCAGGCCTCCGGCTGCTGCTCCCCCTCCTCCTCGGCGTTTCTCTTAGCGGTGACCACAGATCTGCTGGCACCCTTTTCCTCTTTGCGGAGGGGCTTCTGGATGCTGAGTGCAGCCGGAGACGCGCTCCGCTTGCAGGTGTCTCAGGACAGGGGCTACTTTTCTCCTCTCCCATCTCAGACGCCCCTGCAGCCTGCTCTCTGTCTGGGCTGAGCACGTCACCGCCTGGGTCTCTCAGCCGGCTGACTTCTTCCTCTGGAAGATCACTTGTGTGTTTCTGGGGATTTAACGCACTGAGGCAGCTGGCCGATGCTAGTGAGTGAGTGTGGCTTGTGTCCAGCGCAGGTAAGGAACCGCACGTGTCACTTTTCATTTCCTTAACAGATTCTCCCAATATCCTCTCCTGATTTCCACAGAGCTCATCCAAAGATGAGTGTGAACCGCCAGCAAAGGGTTCATCTGGAAAATATTAACAAAGAATTAACTGCAAAATACTTACATGATAAACAGAGTCTGCAGTCTTCAATAAAACAACACTTTTCTAGCACAGCTATCAGTCAAGAACAGTACTGACCCAATTCTGGGTCTCGTTTCCTTTCAGGGCATCCTCACGGCCTGCAGTTTCAGCCAGGGAATCTGGGCTTCTGCACAGGAGCAGGGAGAAGCTCTGAGAGCTCTATGCATATTTCCCTAGGAAGGTGTGCTTTATCTACAGCTTTTCAGCAAACTCTCCGGTATGTTCAAGGTAAGAACTACTGCCTTACACAATCTAGGCCGAGCTCTGGTCTTCCACAAAACGTGCCCCCAGTTAGTAGAGCTCATCTTTACTTTCCCAACCTTCTGGTTAAGTCCTTATACTAATACTCCAAGTGAGCCACGTGGGGACCCTTATTGCTGCTGCTGCTTTCCTAACAGCACTTTCCCAATGCCAAGCACTCTGAACACAGTTCTTTTTCCTCACTACTAACTCAGACCCTCCTGCAGCCCGGGTCAGAAAATGACTAGGAATCTGCAATAACTGGAGGAAAGTTACGACTTATCACAGTAAGTCAGTCTAGGGGCCACATGAAAAAACACAAGAACGTGTACACTGACCTCACTCGGTCACACGCTCGCCTGTGCTTCATACGCTGAGCGAGGTGATGCTTACTTAGCTCTGACTGCTCCCTATTCTGCTGTTTAAAGTGCACACAGATGGGTTCATATGAGGCCACAAGAATTGTAAATGTGAGCACCTGATTCCACAGTGAGCAAACAAATGCGGGAGGAAAGCACAGGAGCCAGAGGGGAGACAGCTCAGGAATTTCTATGTGTTCATTTTATTACAACACCAGGTTTCAGAAAAACCCTTTGAATTCTAATTTAGCCCAGTTGCTGGAATCATGTGACATAACACGAAATTCTAAATAAAACAATCATTTGATTCTCGTATCTTAAATGTAATGCCAGGATAACAGTAATTTTACCTGCACACAAGATATCCCGGGAAACATTCGAAGGTGCTTCACACAGAGTGTCATCTGGGTTCTCCTGAGCTTGCTCGGTCCTCTGGGAAGCTGACAAGAGAATTGCAACATCTCAGACTTCAGGGCTTTCCAGAGGATAAGACAATGGTGTGCCGACCCATTACATTTCAGGCGTACTGCAGACTGGACCCAGAGCTATAACCCCCAGCCCCTTCTGTTCATTCTGAGGCAGGCCTCCCTCGTCTTACATAACATATACACATTAACTTATGTATTTTTTCTGCTACATATTTCAGACTTAACACAAAACAGCAAGCACAAAGAAAAGCTTTAGGACAATCTAGTACATATAAAATCAGAAAATACCTCTATTAATGATATTACTTAAAAAGCATAAATGATAGAACCACAAAAGTCACAGGGGCCCTGAAAAGCTAACTTGCCTGCGAATCTGGTCAGAAGTATAACTAAGGCAAACACATGAATTCTGCTGGTCTTCCAGCCTGATAACCGTGCTCTTTCTTCAAGGAAGCTCCCACTGGTCACCTTCCTAACTGGAGCAGGGGTTCTTGGCGAGGCGGCTGTGGGCCCCCACAGATGTCTGGTAATGTCGGGAGACATTTTTGATGTCACAAGGGGAGGGGATGGTGAGGCACGGTATTGACAGAGTCCCCAAACAAGAAGCTATCCAGCCCAAAAGGCAATGGTGCTGAGGGTGAGAACCCTAGAGGGCTCACAGAAAACATCCAGTGAGTTTAACACAGAAGGCTGCGTGCATCAACATTAAATGTGAGGCATGTGACACATGGAAACAAAAGAAGTACACGGATCGCACACCCAAAAGTACTTTTTAAAGACTCAAAAGGAAACCTTTCTGACAACGCTTGACCAAACCCCTGTAAAAATAAGGTAACTGTGGGTAAGGAAGGTGAGCACACGCTGAATGCAGCTCAGTGGAAAGCAATGGGATCAATGAGCTGAAGGTAAATTCGTGCACATGCAGAACGATGTGTCAGAAGTTTCCACTCCACCTGGGACCAAGCTGGTGCGTCCCAGACCCAGTCTCAGCTCTCTCTGAACAACAGAACTCTGACTGCATCCTAGTAAAGCCTGCATTCAGCCTGCTGGTTACCTGGAGTGGCTGCAGACAAGGTCCGGCCCTGCAATGAGGCAGGATTATGGATGGGCGGTCTGGAAAGACTGTGCAAGGGGCTTGCTGGGTGCAAGGCACCAAGCAAAACACAAACATAGGGACCTGGATTCCTAAAAACACCTGGCACAGCCTGCCACCCCTGGCTGCCCGCTTCTGGACTCAACATACAGCGAGATGCAATCTTACCTAAGTTACAGTTTTTCTGTTTGTTACACACACCTAAAACTGACCGGTACCAGTGTCCATTTGTATTATATAAAATATGGATGCAAGATACATTATACTGCCTTAACAGATCAGAAAGAAATGAAAAAGCTCTCACAAATCAGAAAAAAATGAAAAATATAACAGGTAGATAGACAAAGAAATAAAATCCACAGAGACAATTACTGATAATTACTGTTATATTTAGCAAGTCACAATCATATGAAGATATTCGACTTTACTAATAATCGAAGCAAATTAAATGTAAAGGCTTTCAATCTTTAGATTTCTTTCAGATTAAAAAAGTCAAGGCTAATGTCATCAACTTCTCCAAGTATGGAGAAAGTGGGTTTTTTTAGAACTGGTGAACGGCATCTCTGGCTCAAATTTTTTGAAGGGTAATTTATACATTAAAACTTTAAATCATCTGTATGAATGAATATTGAAATACATGATGCATGCAGAAATATAAGGGTTTATGGTACAGACACAGGGAAAGGGTTAAACACAAATGCAAACACCACAGTCCAATTTAAGTGAAAACAAAATGCACCTCTACACAGAAACCCAACCCGTGTCATTTCCATGTACAGAGCGAATGATACTCTCCACATGATCTAGAACAACAAGTTAAAATAGAGGCCACGCTCCAGCAGGGGAAAAGAATTATGTGGGAGTCAAGCTAAAGTTTATTAGTTACACTGTTAGATGTTCAATTATTAGTTAAGTAGTTAAAAATATTTTAAAAAATCATAAACTGATACATTAGCTACATTATTCCAGAGTAAATTCTTTCAAAAGAACAATGTGACTAACTTTTTAAAAAAGAAAAAATATTCCAGTGATATTAAAAAATGACAAAGGAGCTCTGACGAGGATTTTAAACTGGACAACACTATATATTCCAATGTAAGCTTCAAAAATCTTCATGAAACATATGACTTTCTGGAATAAATATTAGTAAAGTCTTCACTGAAATATCAAAAAACAATAAAAATGTCTACAAAAAGAAAAAAATCTTCCCACAATCACTTATTCACACATTTGCACTATTCTCATTTTACAAACCCATCACTTACAGGTCGGGGAAAGATGTTCCCTTTTCTCCTTCATCTCCTGCAATCTCTTCTCCATTGTGTGCTGGTGACCACCGACTTTAATTGAGGAACTGTATGTCAATGAGTCGCAAGACTCAAATAAGAAAACAGGCATGTTGTCATCTGAAAACAGACAAAAATTCAACTGTAGCCTCAAGGAAATGCTTTCCTGTCTCCGCAGCGTGACTTCTCTCAGGGACACCCACCCCGTAGCCTTCCTTAGCCAGCTCTGCCTACCACCTGGGTGACCCCTGACGCTAGCACCCCCCTGCTGCACACCATTCTGCCATCTCATCTCACCTACCCAGGTGAAGATGGCACCAGTGTCCTTACATCATGAAGACACCAGAAACAGAAGTTACCCCACTACAAGAAGCTGCAAAGCCAGAACGCCACGTGGCTCCTAGATGTGACGCTCCTAGATGTGACATGAGCCAGGTGTTGGAGCTCGCCCCTACTAACTACCGCTCACAGCTGAGCACGCACCCACTCCCACATGCAACCCCGTTACATAAGGTGGGGTCCAGCGTTGTCCCACATCATCAAAAGACTACATTATCTAAGATTTGTCTATTTCAGGTAACAAAACAAAAAGACCAAGTATGTGCACAGTCAAGATGAACACCGTCAAGAAACAGATGGGATTTACGTCAGTAAGGCTGATCAGATACTATTTTTCTTTAACAATCACCCCTAACAACAAAAAGTTCCACCTATGTGATGTCTGATGAGGACTGCGGTCCGTGAGCTCCCTGTGCCGCTCCATCGGGCCCCTCACCAGGCCTCTGCGGCTCCCGGGACAGTGCTCTCCTGCCTGGCCTCACCCCACGCTGCCTTCCTTAGCCAGCCTGGCCACCAGCCAGTAGGTCAGCCGAGCGGACGCGGCTACAACAGGAAGGCACCAGGGCGCTTGCACTCTTACCTAGAGCTGTCCTTTGTCTCTGTAGCTGTGCAGTCATTTTCTCAAATTTCCTTTGAAGTCTTTTATCATTTTCTGGTGTTTTAGGAATAAAATCTTTGGGCTGCATGCACTTACGCTGTGCAGAAAGGATATAAAAATTTAATAATGCCACATTACAATAAAAAACTTTTTTATACACTTCTCTTATCTTTTAAACAATAAAAAGAGGTGTTTTTTGCACTATTTATGACCTGGTAGCATTTGTTTTCATGCCATGTTTTTAAAAAGCAGAATTTGCAAGATTAAATAAAGGCTGTGTCCTAAGTAATTGTTTTCTAAGACATTTTCAGGATGTCAACATCTTCAGTCTCCACCAAACATCTTAGAACTATCCTTTCTACCATTCTTGGCTATTCGCACATCATCTTCCCTCCAAAATCATGACGTAAGTAATAAAATACAAAAGCAATTATCTCAGAATTACCAAAGAGAAGAACCATTATTTAATCACACCTTCTTGTCTGTAAGTCACAGCAGCCCACTCAGCCCAAACCTGCTCAAAGCCTGCGCAACCTGGACCGCTGTCCACTGGAGTCCTGGTCTCATGTCTAAAGGACTGAGCTCAGAGAAAAGGGAGGGAGCAACTCCGCCAACGCACCGCTCTGTTCAGAGCTGTCTGTCTCCTTCCCCTTGCTGGCCTGTGTTACCGACTCTGCTGTGTGCTCCCAGCGGGGACCCCACAGAAGTGTGCCTTCTGCTGCGTGCTCTCTGGGTTGAGGGTGAAGCGACAGTACAACTTGCTCATCTGGAAACCAGTCTAACTTCCTAACGACAGGACTTCTTTTCACCCTTTCTGACTATGCCCAGGCTTGTGCTCCTGACTCAGAATACCAGTCCCTCCCTCTCCCTCTCTGTCATTAACTGATGTGTCAGGCCTTCACCCTGCAACCTATTCAGAGCCTGGCCACTATGCAGCTCGTCATCTAGTTTCACTAAGGACTCGACACTGCATTCTGAAGTAAACGCCAAAGCATCTGAAGGTTGCCTAGTCTTTGGGCAACTTTTAGGTTTCCCGAGGCCAACAAGTCTCTTTCATATTTTACAGGACATCGAAGTATTCACAGGCTACAGCAGTAGTGGCGAACCTTTCAGAGCTTTCAATGACAACGAACAGCCCACCGTAGCACATGTGCCACAGGTTCATCACCAGTGGGCTGAAGAAATCTCTGGTTACCTGAAACTACCAGGAATGAATACGGTAATTTTCATATAGAAGATAACTCCTGGAAAATATTCTAAAATGATTTCCTAAGAATAAAAAAATAAAAGTCAATAAATTAATAATTACCACGGTTTACACTGAGATTGCACACTTACCTTTTTTCTCATCAGGCTTAGTATGTGCTCACTGGGGCCAGTTGCTGGGAATAAGGACTCATCAGCACGCACACCAGCTGCCCTGCACCTGCGTAAGCAAGGTGAAGAGTCTGCTAAGCACTGTTCTCTCCCAGACTCACACAGAGAGTCAAATCTACACACGTATCAGGTGGCACCTTAGGAAATCCTTGAGTAGATCATAATAGATATTTCTTTTAAAATACATGTGTTTAATCCCAAATGTAGAAAGTCAATGTAGACTTTCTCAAATCTTTTCCACATAGTTTTTTTTTTTTAAAGCATAACAGCAGAAAAGACAGGGAGGTATAGGATGTACAATTTTTACACAGCAATTTTAGATCCATACTTCAAAATTACCAGGACATGCTACTCACAAAGGTAAAATTAGATGCTATTAAATATACACAGCAACGGTAAAAGACCTTAACACGGGTAGTCAGAGTAGGGAGGGACCTAACGAAATTAAAGCCAAGGACTATTGCTCTTCCAAAGCCAGGCTTGGCTTTGTGCATCTGTCTTTGCCAGGCTCTGTGTGCCTCTCCACACTTGTGTCCTACACCTGCCTAACTGCCTCTCCTTACACTGCTCCCCTTTCAGTCCTGGCATCCCCTCACCGTTACCTCCTGGCAAGCGTTCAGCCACCAAATCTAATAATGCACTCATTTTCCAATGATTTATAGCCTCTGGCTTCTCCTCTTCCATTTCAGCATGTATTACTCAATGATTACTCTCAGGACACTTACTCATCTTTCCCCACCAGGTCAAAACATTCCACTACTCCCATGATGACAGAAGCAACTCACATGTCTGCTGTTTTCATGATACGGCCCTTAACTACATTTTCCACTATCCTTCATAACACTACCCATGCTCAACATCTAAAATGCAGACAGACTTGAAAAAGAAATCAGAACACGGTTCAGTGATAGTTCATATTGATACTTACCTTAACTATACAAGGTAAGAGTAAAAAGGCTGTAACGGGGGCAAGTCAGAGCAAGGAGGGATACGTGTTGTGGAGGGATACTCCACGACGTGGCAAGAACGGAAGGGAAGTTTCAGAGATGAGCATGTACGATTCAGCATAGTAACTGACAACAGTGGGCATGGCCAGGAGGACTCCACAGTGCTCAGAGAATCCCTGGCATCCCTGCCACCCTTCCGAGGGTGTGAGACACTGAAGCTATTTTCATAACAAGCCAAACATTTTCTTTTCTCTTTCTATGAACACAAGATGTTTATGGAAACCAAGAGGGGTGTGCTACCCTAACAAACTGCACCCAGAGGCAGATGTGAGAGCAACTATCCCCTAGGAGGGCAGCACAGAGAAATGTGCAAACCTGCAAGTAAAACAGCAGAAACTGCAGTACGAGAAGTGCAACTAGGCAGGGCTGGGCCAGGTGGAGCACACTGGGTGCCAGCCCTGTCTTGGTTCCGGCCAGGATGGGTCTGGGAGCACAGGACTGCACAGAACGCAGCAGAGCACCTTGGCTGGGGCAGCACAGTGCGCTGGGACTCACACTGGATCGAATGAATGAATGAAGGAATGAATGACTGGCGAGCAGCAGGATTGCTGAGGAGCTGTGCCAGGGTAGCAAAAAATAGCCTTCCAGCCTGGACACTTCAGTTTCTTAGTTGCCCAGGTCATAGTTCCTGTTCCAATTCTGGGTGCTCCTGTCTCTTAGAAACGGCTGGTCACTGTGATGCATAGCTGGTCACTATGATCCACACTGTATAAACCAACCCCCAACCGACCAGCCATTCTGCCTCCGTACTTCCTGCTTGCTTATCTCACACAAGCCCTACACCACCAGAGATCAGGGCCTGATATTCTGGGAATGATCCCGATCAGGGCCCGTTGGCATAAATAAATCTGCCTCCAAATCCTGGTTGTTGCTTTGGTGTCTCTGCTTGCTGCTGCACCAGTCCCAAGGAGGAGCTAGGACCCTGGTGCAGCCCCAGCTAGGGAAGGTGTGAGGGAAGCGTGGGAGGTGCCCGAGGCACAGCCCCGGGAGGACAGCTCCAGCCGGGGCAAGGAGACCCACCCCTGGGCACTGCAGTGACAGGGTGGGAGATGCTGACAACTCAGCAGAGGCTCTGGGCTGGGGGAGGGGGTGACTGAGCAATACTTAGGGAATAAAAACAGAAAGTCCTTGACCTCTGGCTAAATCTAGTACAATAAACATATTATTTTCTCTTGCCCCTCAAAACCCCAATAAAATGACAGTGAAGGAAAACAGAATGACATAAACCACCAAAAATAAAGACTAGATAAGAGCTATCTGAGGAACTGAAAGCAAACAAATAAAAAGGAAACCCCAGCGGGGCCAGGGGCATAGGGAAGTCCACAGGGAGGCCCCAGCCAGAGCCCCCTAGCCCCTGAGGGTGCGTCAGGTGTGGAGACTCACAAGGCGTGAGGGCAGGGAGCCAGCCCCACGTGCCCACTTCCCCACCACCAGGGCTGCGAAGTCCAGCCAGGCAGCGTGCCAGTGTCAGACAGCTGGACCAGCACTCTGACTGCAGGACAATCCGGTGTTCCTCACTGAGTGTCTACATGCACATCCCCGTGGTGACACGTCTTTGACCAGAGAAAGGAAGGGAGTGCTGTGCACGTGACAACAGATGGACCTTGCTAAGAGCCAGCACAAGGGCAGCACGTTGCATGTCTCCACTTACACGAAGTGCCCAGAAAAAGCCCAGCGTCAGAGCTGGTCCCGCAGTCACTTGGCCTGGGAACAGGGGGCGTGATGGTCGCAGGGTACAAGGCTTGGAGGTGGAGAAACTGCTGTAAAGTTGTGGAGATGGCAGCATAACTATGAATATGTTTAAATCTCTTACTTAAAATGGGAAAATGCCATGGTATGCAATTATATCTCAGAACACTCAGAAACAGAGAAAATACAGGCACTGCTACACCCCCACTCCAAAAAAAGGCCTCTTTGAGTCTTTTTTGTGTTGCTCAAGTTCAACACATGGAATGCCAAGCGTTGGTGAAGAGGTGGCAGAAACGGAGCACTCAAGCACTACCGGTTGGAATGTGAAACCGCCCACCCCAGACCCAAGAGTGGGTAATGACTGGAGAGATGGGAACACAGACACCAACACTGGTGTCCATAGCAGCTGCACCCATAATCACCAGGAAAGGAGAACTATCCAAACTTTCCATCTATGGTGAATGCAGGACCAGTTGTGCTATATGCATGCAACAGAATACCATCTAGCTATAAAAAGGAAATAAAACTATTGCTGTATACAACAACATGGATACACCTAAAGGAAAAAGAAAATCACACCGAATAGGCAGAAGCCAGATGCAAAAACAGTGCACGCTGCAGGATCCACTGCATGAATCCAGAATGCCAGGCTCGCCTGCAGCCAGAGGCCAGACCAGCGGACTGTCCAGGGCAGGAGCTGGGGTGGTGATGGAGACCACCATGACGCGGCTCTGAGCAGGATTCAGTATTATCCAATTGGCTTTTCATGTTTACTTGGGAGTTGTCTGAAGCTTCAAGGCTGATTTTAAGAAACAAGCCACTTGCCTAAGCCTGTGGGAAGAAGTGTCCAGTTGCGGGTGAGCAGGGCACTGGCCCCAACGAAGGAAATGGGAAACCAGCAGAGGGAGCGCATGACAACCAGCAGGGAAGTGTTCCTCTGCTGTGCCTCCTTCTAGACACTGGAAATCATGCATTTTTAACCCTGGACAGTCTTTCCCAGTTCCTCCTCATTGACCATTTACCACTCATACTAGTAAGGAAACAGCAAGAGGAAGAGGACAGCTGGGAGGCAGCTGCACAGAAGATGTGACAGACAGAAGAACCTGGGTGGCGTGCTGTCACAGGCACAGTATTAAGAGCACCGGCCTTCAGGATGAGGTTCAGCCCGCCTGTGATGAGCGTCACCGTGACCTGTGGATGGGCACCACCTTTTCCTCCTCTTTCATAACGGAGAGCACAGCTGACACACCATTTGCCAAATCATGGCAGCTGATTTACAGGAAGCCTGCTTTATGGTAAGCCTCCAGAAAGGTTCAATTCAACTCAGCAAAACTGTCTGACAAAACTGAAGTAAGTATAACAGCTATGTTCTGTCCCCTTGGAGAATAAGCTTCCCAACATTACTTATCAGAGCGGGAGGATGGGAAGATGCGGAGAGATACACTCCCTAAATCCCATCTGCTTGGGTTCAGACATTCCCACAATGAAGAAGTGTGCAGGTAACGTAAAACACTGCACGTTAACCACCTGCACGCTGCCACACATGGCAGAGCTGAAACTGCTATGTGAAAACATGTTTAAAAGGTGCCCAGTCAAAGTGTGCTGAATAGATTAAAAAAAAACTCCCTGTTTGACTTCAATTTTTCCTCAGAAATATAAACTATATTAGCCCTCCACCTAGTGGTCAAAAGGAGAAGTGTTTCAAGGATACCCTGGACACACAGCTAACTTGCGGGCCTGCAATTTCCAGCTGCTGCTCCTTCAGGCCCCGAGGAGCGAGCACCCCTCTCTAGGGGAAGGCCCTGCTCCGATGAGCTCCGCACCCGGGCCTCCCAAGCACACCTTGGGCCCCAGGGTCAGGACCACCTCCAATCAGGGGGCCCTTCGCTTTCTCCTGCCAGCCCACGAACCCCGTCTGCTCAGCAAGTGCATGAATCTCCTCCAGACCCTCGAATCCATCTGCTCTCCGGCAACCGTCTCCCCTCCAGCCACCCCCGCCCACCCGGAAGGGCCTCCTTACGACAGGTCACTGCTGTGCCCAGAACTGAGGAGTGGGGACAGGTCCAGCGCGTGCGGCACGGACCGGGGTGTGTGGTGAGGAGGACAGATGCTGAGAGGCTCGCGGGACACCACCACCCCAAACGGGGGCGTCACCTATCACGGATCAGCAATCTCAGCAGTGCCAGCCACCGTCGCCCAACCTACGGAGACAAAGGGCGGCCCAGGAGCCAGCTGCGCCCTGCTGAAGAGCCGGCCCGAGGACGCGGTGGTCAGCAGGAGCCCAGCGCAGCCGGGGGTCGCACGTGTGGGTCTCTCAGGCCAGAAACGCAGGGCAGCGCTTCAATCCGATGGT